GCTATGGTCGTTTACGAAGAATTAAATAGTGATTGGCGGCGGATCGAAGGTGTACGTTGTCTAGGGTTAACAAATAAAGTTATAAAGTGCTACCATAAAAATATACTATGTAATAATTTGCTATAGAGATGTTCACAATAAATAGTGATCGGCGGCAAAAATGTCGATGTCGTCTAGGGTTATCTAAATACAAAACAATAACAATTATAATTAATAAAAAAATATATTACGTTATTGTAATAAAATTTACTAGTGATATTTAAATTACGGAATTCATACAAACATGATAATACAAACTCACTCCGCAAAAAAAAATATATACACTTAATTTTCAAAAAATGAAATTGATTGTTAAAGAAATGAAACAATTAATAATGCAAAAATTTAGAGGAAACAAATAAAAAGAAAGAAACTTGTAACTACGATTAGAGATGTCAAAATTTGTAAATATAATTTGGTTTGAATTTTGAAATTTATGTAATTAGAAAATTAGTAGAGATGATTAAATTGTTTTTTTTTTATCTCGAAAACATACATACAATATAAACTCAAGAGTTTCTCTATTGTTTTTTCTTTTACTATACTTGTAATTGTTGCTTCGGCTCAAAGAAATTATAATTTCAAAATTCAAATTAATGAAAACATATTTAAATAAATTATATTGTTTTTTTTTTTTTTTTTTGCTTGTATTAAATTTGAGGAATGCCAGGAAGGGCGCTCGATTGACTCTATTTGCCGGATTAAAATTGTCATCTTTACATTAAAAATTCTTAAAACGAACGAATAAATAAATAAAATTATATGGGAACAAAAGTTTTAATGTAAACTTTGTTAAGGGTGTAACTGGAAAGGAATCTATGAATTCGATGATTCTGATCCGAATTGATATAACTTTTTTCATTCGAAAACTCTGATTTTTCCGAACTTTTTTTTTTTGTATTGGAATTGTAATGTTTATGGAATTTCCATATTCCGTTGTTACGTTCCGAATATTTTCAATTATGTAACAATATTACTCATTCTAAAAACTCAATTTTCAATTTTTTCTCACAACGACATTAGAATACATATTAGATTCCGATTTTAATTGTTGATTTCTTTTTTTTTTTTCTTTCAGAAAATTCCTTTTTTTTCCAAAAAAATAACTTATAATATTAATACTATTGTTATGTATTTATATTATAGGTGACTCAAATTTTGGAAATCCCGAATTATGCCTATTCCGAACCAAAAATTCCAGATTTTGGAACATGTTTTCTCATCTCAATTTCCAAAATTTTAATTTATACTATTTTTTTTTCTTCCGGAAGTCCTAGTTCTGATTCGATTCATTGGGTTTACACCTCTAGTTCCATTGGTCTGTTCGTCTTTCTTCTGGATATCCATTTCGCGATTGCCCAAACCCGGGTCCATTGTACCGAATGACCCATTGTACCTGTCTTTATTACTTACGAGCATTTTTCCAGTTGTTTTGGGATCCATTGTACCGAATGACCCGAGTGTCGGACTCGGCCGTTGAACAAATTTGTGCAACGTTACACATTCCTGTTGGAAATTAAACAAACCCGGAGTTAAGAATAATAATTAGTTATAGTTTGGAAATAAATAAATAAAATAAAAAGATTAATTGTTGATGGATCGATGAAATGATACATTTTGATGATTTTTTTATCAAAAAAACAAAAAAAAAATATTTGGATTAATTAACTCCGTCATTCATAAAAAAAATCATAAATATATCTCACATGATCAATTTTCTTTATATACGAAGCACTGAATATGTGCATCTTATCGATGCTCACGACAAATTCTTGATCGTCACCGAAAATCGGAACCATTTCAAGATTCTGACTTTGTTGAGCTGCCATTTTTATAAATGCTTAAAGTAATAAATTTGCAGAAAATAAAAGAAAATGTATTTGTTGGATTGTATGTTCTATACACGGCATGTATATATTTATAATGTTGTTTTTGTATAGAGTAATGCAGAGTTTTTAATTAATGACGTCTGATTATTAATTTACTATATATCTGTAATGGTATTTTTTGAAGATGGTAAGTAAATCTATGTGCATATTAGCTTATGGGGGCAAAGTGCAACCAAAACAATATTTCGAGGGGTTATCTCTTTTCTAAATTATTAGGGAGGGAAAGTGCATAATGAAAAATTTACAGGGGGTGAACTGTGAAGTCCATTTTGTCTTATAACTTTATGCAGTCCTCGCTGACTTGGACGCTGACATCAGTCATCAGCAAGAGAAGCCATAATCCGCACAATCGAACAGTCCACAGTGGCAGGAGATGTATCTAATCGTACGGCTCTCGATGATCGATCTCTTGGCGCGGATCATGTGTGTGCGAGTGCACCCACTTCGCGAAATCGGACAACTGGAAATCTAGTTGGCACTACAAAATGGGCTGGATAGAGATCTGGATCGCACGAACAACATTTTTCAGCAGTAATGTACGGCTGTGATTGCTTAATTCGAGCACAAAGTCAATATTTTGTTTAACCCGTCTGGGTTGCCCATTTTCTTCAGCTAGGGAAAAATTTATGGCCCAACTCCAATTGGCTCGAGTCCGGGTTTGGGCAATAGTGAAATGTACATCCAGAATAAAGCCTAATTGGATTAATCGAATTAGAAATAGGACTTTCGAAAAAAAATTCTAATTTTGTACCAAAAGAAGTCGAATAAATCAAATTTTTGGAAATTCGAACTAGAAAACTTGTTCCAAAATCTAGAATTTTTGGTCCAGAATAGGCATAATTTGGGATTTCCAAACGTTGAGTCACCTATAATATAAATACATATCAATAATCTTAATAATATAAGTTTAATTTTGAAAAAAGGATTTTTCTGAAATTAAAATTGGAATTTAATATGTATTTTAATTTCCTCATAAAAAAAATCAGAAATCGAAATTTTTAAACTCGGATGATTTTTTTTTTCAAAATTGAAAATAGTCGGATTGGAACAGCGGAATTTGTAAATTCTATATATATTACAATTCCAACACAAAACAAAAATCGGAAAAATCAGAAGTTGCGTGTGATAAAGTTGCATAACTTCATTACTCATCGATTTGTGAACACATAATAAATAACTCGTCCAATTTCCGTAGTTGCTTCATATTTCTACATGTTTTTATTAGTTTCGTACATAAATTATATTATAAAACACATATTATTAACTTTTAATTACATCTACACAACATTAAACATTCGAATATTTGCACAATATGGATTCCCTGAGCTCGTAAATGGCTCGGGCAAGAGTGTAAATATATTGTACCCATGTGATAGAAAAGTTTATAAATTCTTAAGGGTGAATAACGAGTATCATGATATATCAATCGAAAATTATCAAAAAATAGCAAAATAATAGTTATGGTATTTATCATTAATATTCGGTACTTTAACGATATAATATTTTCAATATTGTTAGGATATTTAAGCTATATATAATAAAATAAATAATTACCATGTGTAATAAAATAAATAGTTAACTATTTTATTCTAATTTCACATAGAAAAAAATGTAATATATTCAAGGGTAAATTACAACCACCCATGAGGTATGATTAATTTACGAAAAAACCCCTCTTGGTTGGATAATTACATCTACCCCTCAATTATTATTATTTTCTTACACCTCCACCCTTATGGTGTCAAATTCAACATAATCGTCTAGATTTCGTTGAATGCGCTCTAGTTTGTACTCGTTTTGTATAAAAATGCAGCTTCTGATGCACCACAGTCTGATATATACAAGCCAAAAAGCACATATTATGATTACGGCTGGCAATCGGGTCATGTGAGCCGAGCTTGGGTCGGCTCAAGCTCACATACCATCGGGCCTCGTTACTATAAGCTCAAGCTCACATGTCATCGGGCCTCATTAGAATAGGCTCAAGCTCGGCTCATGTATTTTTTCGGGTTTCAGGTTTATATCGGGTCCCATTACTATATAATTGTAGTGAGTAATTTTTTTTTATAAAAATAAGTGATGAACAAGATTTACCTCCATTGAAGCCAATAAAAAAAAACCTAAACGATCTTTGAAAGTTATTGAAAAACTTGAAAATAAAATCGAAAGAAGTAAAAAAAGATTAGCAACTCTTATTATTGGAAACATTTTATATTCTCAAATCTCGGTAATATGTTGCATTTGATTCATATTTAACTTATTGCCACTGTCACTACTTAATTCATTTTATTTTGATTTTTTTCTTCGCAAAATCAAATAATCTTATACGGTCATGTTGAGTCATAGTATTAAAATAATAAATATATTATATATTTTATTATTATCCTAATCGGTCGGGCCTTATTCGGGTTGCGCCATAGTAGGCTCAAACCCGACTCATAAATAAATCGGGTTTAGTAAAATGGAAACTAGGCCCAGCTCACTAAAAAGTAGGCTCGGCTCAAATATAATCGGGCCGGGCCATCGTGCTTCGATTAGGCCCGGCTCAATTGCCGGTCCCAATTATGATCATCTTGCTTCAAAATGTAGAGTTCAAATGGAATAAAACGGGTACAAAAGTGATAATATTCCATATAATCTCGAAGATTCCACTAAATTTGAAACCGCAAGGATGGACGTGTAAGAAGAATTATAGTTGAGGGGTGATGTAATTACTCAAACAAGAGGGGGTTTTCATAATTTGACCATATATTCAATTGTAAACCAATAATCTCAACTTTGAAAAAGGAATCAGATGTCAGCAACGGACGGTCAGAGATGCAACACACCGTTCTTCCAGTACACACAGCCGCAGCAGATCAAAATTCTTCAAAAAGCATCTCTGTCCTTATTTTCCCTCCATTTTCTCTCTCTAGAGTGATGTAGCTATACTGCAAATAGCATAGAGAGAGAAACCAGTCGATACACACACTTAATGTACACCCCCTTTGCGTGTGAGCTGAGAAATCACTCTATCTACCCCTGAAAACACACACAACACACACACACACACATACTGTGTGTGTATTTTCTGTGTTTTTTTCCATTTGCTTAGAAATTCTCAGATACTAAGGTGAGTTTAATTTTTCCTCTCATTATCTCTCGATCTTCAAGCATTGTGGATTTTTTCCCTTCCATTTTCTTCTCTGCAAATAAATTAATTTTTACAGGCGTATATGTAAGCATTTTACGTAGATTTCGTGTGTATGTGTATATTGTGTGTATATGTGCATACACGCATGCGTTTTATGTGGAATGTATATTGTATGTATACATTGCATTTTTGCTGTGAAGTAGTGATTTTTTTCCCTCTGTATTTTTAGGGTTTTGTAATTTTGGAAACTTTTGTGTAGCTTATTTGCTGGAAATTGATGAACATTTGCTCATTTGCTGTTCATTAATTCTCTGGATTTCTTGTGATTTATTTATTTTATTTATTTTAATTTTGTTGTTGTGCCTATTTCTGTTTATTGAAATGCATAACACTTTGATCAGATTCAAAAACAGAGATGGAAGAAAATGGCAGCACAGAGCATTGTTCTCCATCTGTACAAGTAAACCTGCCAAAGAGATCTATAATTACACGCCCCGGATTCGGAAATTCTGGCCAGCGCATCTCGTTGCTCGTAAATTATTTCAAAGTTTCTGTCGAAAATCCAGAAACAACTTTTTACAAATACAGCGTAAATACAGTAGCACCCTTCTCTTTTTTTTTTTTTTTTTTTTTTTCAAGTGCATTTATACAACACAACATATAAAAGAGAAAGCCATATTTTTATTGCAGGTTGTTATTACATCCGAGGATAATACAGCGGTCGACATGAATGTATTAGGGAGGGAATCCATTACTGAAATTCTCCAAACATACAATTCTGATCTTGCTGAGAAGAGATTCGCCTATGATGGTGAAGCGAGTGTGTATACTGTGGGGCCCTTACCGCAGAACAACTTCGAATTCGTAGTGGTTCTTGAGGAATCTATTCCGAAACGGTAACTTTTTATGATTGAAAACTAATGCCTTCTTTGTTGTCCTTTTTATTGCATTTATTTATTATTGCCGAAATCTGATTGAATCTTCGACATTGTTTTAGCCGAAATCCTTCTGAAGATGGGATTGAAAACGAGCCTTACAAAAGGTCTAAGAGCTCTCTACAGTCAAAAACATTTAAGGTGGAGATTAGTTATGTTGCCAAAGTAGGGTTGAATTCCATATCCGAACCGGAAAAAAATCAAGATGCTCTGAGGGTTTTAGACATCGTTTTACGACAAGAAGCAGATAAACGGTATACCAATGCAACCCTTTTGTCTTTATATAATGTACATATATACGTATATATATGTATATAATGTTGTTAGCGTTTAAGTAAATATTAAACGCTTGATACAGAGGCATGTTCTTGGAAATTGGAGAGGGTTTGATGGGAGTGAGAGCTTTCGATTCCAACTTTTGTCAAACTCTAGGGGGCTTGTGTCTTAACATGGGTATTATGCTCTTCTTGCCTTTTTCCTTTTTCTTCTTAAGCTGTTCATATTGGACAAAACAATGATACTAAAGTATATTTTGTTAGATGTATCGACAAACGTCATATTTGAACCGGGACCGATGGTTGACTTTCTTCTTGCTAACCAGAAAATCAACGAAACTCGTGATATTGACTGGGGAAAGGTATATGGACTTTCAACTGCATATTTGTAGCCTTTTCTTTTTAACCTTTTTCGAGATTTGCTTGTTAACGACACTGAGACTGAAGGACAGGCCAAAAAGATGCTCAAGAATATGAGGATTATGGCGAGTCATAGTCGTGTTGAATTCAAAGTTATCGGTTTAAGTGAGAAACCTTGTAATCAACAGCTGTAAGTAACACAGTTTTTTCTATCTTACTTTTTTTTTCCTACTCTTTGCTAAAAGATCTGTGATGTTGATTTATATATTCAGTTTTAGTCCGGGAGATGACGAAGAGAGTGTCGAGATTACGGTTTATGACTATTTTGTTAAACGTCGTAATATAAAACTTGTGTATTCATCAAACATGCCATGCATTGATGTTGGAAAACCAACGAGACCGAATTACCTGCCTCTAGAGGTGAATAGTTTTTTATGTTTCTTATTTTTCTTTATCTCTCATTCAAGGAATTTAATTCTGGCTTCTTTTGAATTTCAGCTCTGTCTAGTCTCTGTTCAGCGATACACAAAAGCATTGTCAATAAACCAAAGAGCATCTCTAGTTGAAAAATCGAAGCAGAACCCTCCTGATATAATTCAAGTAATTGTTTTTTCATGATTTTTTTTTATTTTCCGTCTTTACTTTACTGTGTAATTGTTTGGTTTGTTGAATTATTTTTCAGGCTATGAAATGTAACTACGTTGAAGATCATATCCTCTTTGATTGTGGAATTTCAATTGAAAAGAATCTTACTCAAATAAACGGACGAATTCTCGACACACCTAAGGTAGTTATATTGTCACTACGTTGAATTTTTTTTTCCCATCACATGTTATTTTTTTTTCAACTGTGATGCTCCTCCATTTTCAGTTAAAGGTTGGTAATAATGAAGATTGTATACCCAAGAATGGCCGATGGAATTTTAATAACAAGGTATTCTGTTTTACTTCATTTATTTATTTCCCTAAAATACACGAGAACAATGGTTCTAACATTCGATTCATTTCTCTGCTTTCAAAAGAAACTTCTAAAACCAAGCCAGATAAATCTTTGGGCAATTGTCAATTTCTCCGAGCGTTCTGATTGCAGCCAAATTGCACGGGAGCTCATCAAATGTGGGAGGGAAAAAGGAATTGTATGCTTTACTCTAATTCTCCTCCTCTACTATTATTATTATATTATTATTATTATCCTCTTTGACGTGTGCATGTTTAAATTTCTTCTTTTTCTTGATTTAGAATATTGAGCGCCCACATACAATATTTGAGGAAGATCCCAAATGTCGAAGAGCTACTAGCCCTGTGAAACGCGTGGAAATGATGTTTAAACAAATTATAGATGAGCTACCTAACCGCCCTGATTTTTTGTTGTGTGTTTTGCCGGAAAAAGAATGCGATATTTATGGTACTGTATATATGTATATATCTATTGACAAGCTTTTCTAGTTTGTATATCTATTATTGTAATAACTTTTTATGAAATTATGTCACATAGGACCTTGGAAGAAAAAGTGTATATGTGGCTTGGGTATTGTCACGCAATGCATTTCTCCTACGAAGATCGACGACCAATACTTGACAAATGTACTTCTCAAAATCAATTCCAAGGTAAAAAAAGTATATATATGAGTTATAAACCTAAAAAAATGAAATTTGCTCGATTGTTGTTTTATGATTATTTTTTATTTCCTTTTGTAGTTAGGTGGCATAAACTCATTGTTGGAAATTGAGCACTCTCGTCAAATTCCACTCGTTTCGGATAAGCCAACTATGATCTTGGGAATAGATATATTGCATAGTGGATCCAATGTTCCGTCTATTGCTGCAGTAATTCTGTTGCCTATCGAACTTTTATAAATTACAGTAACGTGTCTGAATAATTTTGATGTTTCAGTGATTTACTTTTTTATAACTATCACTATTATTAAGGTTGTTGGATCTCGGAGTTGGCCAATGATATCGAGGTATAGAGCAGCTGTACGATCACAATCTTCAAAAGTGGAGATGATCGAATCTTTGTTCAAGCCACTAGCAAATGGGGAGGATGGTGGTATTATGAGGTAAATAAGTTTTCAATTTTGTACTAGATAATTATTGTTAAGTACTTAATTAATGGCTCTGCATACTATAAAATGGTGAAGAAAATACCTCGATTATTTTGCTTCAGGGAACTGCTTTTGGATTTCTACGAAACCGCCAATGAAAGAAAACCAACTCAAATTATCGTTTTCAGGTAACAATACACGGAGACAGTACTTTGTGCCTAAACTGTTTCGCTTTTCCGAATTCTCTACTTTTTTTTGCTTTCATATATTTACTATTTACTACTAAACTTCCTCTCAGGGTTGGCGTGAGCGAGTCACAGTTTTCTCAAGTCTTAAACATCGAACTCGATCAAATTATTAAGGTAGCTTTTCCATTAATTGGCTGCTAATTTCGATGATGTGTCGAGATTTACAAAAAAATCGTGAAGCATCATATTTCATGAATTTGTTTGCTATACTGCAGGCTTATAAGCATCTTGGTAGATCTCATGAAATTCCAAAATTTACGGTGATAGTGGCTGGGAAGAATCACCACACCAAACTATTCCAAGATTCAGATGCTGAAAATATTCCATGCGGTCCGTTTCTTTTAATCGATAACGTTCTAATATTAATAAAATAAAAAATAAAAAATAAAAAGTATGCAACTCCCTCTCGCCTGCAGGGACTGTAGTGGACACAAACATTGTTCATCCTACAAATTACGATTTCTATATGTGCTCTCAGGCAGATACGGTGGTACGTTTTCTAAAAACTATTTTTCGATCAATTTTGGTGGATTTTGAAACCAACTTTATTTGGACTTATTTAAATTCCTTTTCGTCCGATTTTTAATCAGCAGGGAAATTCTGAACCTGTACATTATCATGTCTTGCTCGATGAGATCGGTTTCTCACCAAACGATCTCCAGAATCTCGTCCATTCCCTATGTTATGTGTAAGACTACATTTTCGAGCTTTTTAATATTTTAAAAGAAAATGCTTTTGTTATGTATCTGCCAGAAACCAGAAACCAGAAAATGCTTTTGTTATATTTTTTACTCTTTCCATTCTCCAGAAACCAGAGAAGTACAACTTGTACAACCATCGGTATTTATCGACCTCCCTTCTCCTCATAACTTCTAAATTATAATAAACTATTTCGAATTTCGACCAAGTTTATTCGAATATTGATTATTTCATTTTAATATGTTTTTGTTTCCAAATGCAGTTGCACCTGTATTTTATGCTCGTCTTGCAGCCGAACAAATGAGTGAGCTAACGAATTTTGAAGAATATTCCTCCGAAACTTCGTCTGGAGAGAAAAGCGTAAATGTTCCAGAGCTGCCTAGGCTCCATAAAGACGTTGTTGCTTCCATGTTTTTTTGTTGATGCTTGTGATAATTATTTTATATATATATTTAAAGAAAAAAAACTATGTATAAATATGTCTATGTTGTTCTTCTTTTGCAGAGCGTATATAATCACTTAACTTAAATAATTTAATCAATTTAGGCAGTGTTTGCTAAAGCTTTTAGAAATATATTATGATTTTTTTTTTTGTGTGTGCGCTCATAATCAATTTTTAACCGGTTTGCAAATTAGCTTTTGTTTTTGCTTTTACTTCTTTAAAATAAATTGATTTAAACTATAAAAGTACCATGAAATCTACTTTTTTTTCTATTTAAGTTGATTTTCCAACTTATTTGCTCACAACCATCTAACATTTTAGAAATACACACTTAATACTAAATTTATTCACAATTACTAACTTTTGGTTTTTTGCAAACACCACCTCAGTCACCAGTAATATTAATACTATAAGTCCTGTAAGGGATGATTTCGCGGTTAGAGCAAGTGAGTTTGTGTTAACTAATCCAGGTTTGAATCCCCATACAAAACGGTCGCTATGTGAAGTCTGTCACACATGATTAGCCTAGTGTGGTTTAGGTCTCTCGTATGTTATGCAAGTTATTTTACGAGAGTGTAGATTTACCCAGTGCATCTATTTAATTGTCTCTCGTATGGTTTGCAAGCTATTATACGAGAGTGTAAATTTACCTAGTGTACCTATTTGGTTAGCTGCGGGTTCCTTCATTGTCGAAAGAAAGTATTGATACTAAACATCAATTTTCATAAACAAATTTGAATTTTTGGAAAATATTTCCAGAAATTATAATTGAAACTTCAGAATTCAAATGAAAATATTATTTCTAAATTGATTTTTTTTTTTGAATTAAAATTGACGAAATTCATGTTAGCGAATCGACGGTCAGAGATGCAATAGACCATTCTTCCTCTACACACAGCCCCATAAGAACAAAATTCCCCAAAAGCAGTCTCCCTTTCGTTTCCCTCCATTTTCTCTCTCTAGGATCACTCAGACCAAACAGTGCAGAGAGAGAGAGAGAGAGAGAGAGGGAATTCGCTCTCTGCACTTTGTACACACACTCTGTGCGCGAGAAACCACTCATATACTCTCTGCATTAAGGTGAATTTTATTATTTTTTTTAATTGTGAATCTTCTTCTATCGTTGGGAGGGTTTTGCCCTGTTTTTTTCGCTAATAAATTGATCTTCACTGGCATTTATGTAAGCATCTATACGCGTATGCCTACATACATGTGCATGTATGTAATTTGTGCGCTTTTATTGGAATTAATGTTGCTACATTGAATTTTTCGCTGTTCAACAATTGATGTTTTTCTACATTCTCGAGTTTAAAAAATTAAAAATTAAAAAAAAATTAAAAAAATTCCCCTCTTTTAGGTTCAGCACCGCCGCCATTAGCAGCCCATGTAATAATAGTTCTCCATCTTGATTGTTATTGTGTTTTCAGCACTTGAGCTCATTTTGTTCTGCCATGTTTGGTTGTTTTTGGTTCTACTTATATTTTGGTATATGCGAATATTCCTATTTTTTAGTGAGCTGCTGTTCATCTATGCATTAGTGCTCCGCTTCTGTTTCGACATCGATATTTTGAGTTGTGCTTAAAGAAATCGAGAAATACTATATTGTTGCTGGAATTTTGTCAATTTGGTTTCACTGTATGTCAAACACATGTTCTATCTAGTTATTGCTCATCAAGAATCTAATCTGCTGTCAGATCCTCAATTAGCAGCATCATACGAGTAATCTTTCCGTTTTGCTCCTTTAATAGCAACTGATCTGTTAAAAGTCGATAGGGTATTTGCTATTAATGATTTCGGTGGATTTCTTTTGATGGATGTATTCGTTTTTCAGTATAAGGTAATTATTTCAATGTCGCTGTTTCTTGGCTATTAAATTGAATTACAATACCCCAAAAAAAAAAATAATAATAATAATTCGGAGAAACAGTAGGCTGTTCTGTTGATTTATCCATTCAGTTTCTTCATCGGAGCTTTTAGGTATTAATTCCATTATCATACCCAAGAAATATATAAATATTTCTGCATAAAATCTATGTTATTGTGTTCTATAATTCATTCAGTTGCTTCACTGCTCTCTTGGTATTAATTCAATCACCATAGCCGACATATATGTATATACATATAATCCGTGGAACAATTTGGTAATTCTGCCGCGTTATTTATTCAGTTGCTTCATTGGTCCTACCTCTATTTATTGACATGCATAGTTTCTATTCTATAATTTCTGGTCAGGTGAACTAGATTTTCTGTCTCTCAATCGGGTTCAGTGTTTCCGTAATCATATCTTTTATTTATTACATGGATGAAGCTTCGTCTTATCATTGTGCTTAACTCTTTTAGGTTAATCATTGAAAAATAGAGATGGGAACAGATGGTGGGGCAGACCATACTTCTCCATCTTTGGACCTACCACCACCAACTATACCACCAAATGTAAAGGTAGTACGAGAAGACCTGCCTAATAGATCTATAATTACACGTCCTGGATTCGGGACTTCTGGCAAGCGCATCTCTTTGCTCGCTAATCATTTCAAAGTTTCTATCACAAATCCAGACGAAACTTTTTACCAGTACAGCGTAAAATACATAACCTTCTCTTTTTTTTTTTTCAAGTTGTTTATACTATACGACACATATAAGAAAATCTATTTTGTTTGTAGGTTGCTATTAGTTTTGAGGATAATAAAGCGGTTGAGAGCAAGGTACTAGGGAGGAAAGTTATCGATAAACTTTACCAAACATACTCTTCTGAACTTGCTGGGAAGAGATTTGCTTATGATGGGGATGCGAGTTTGTACACTGTGGGGCCCTTACCGCAGAACAACTTGGAATATACAGTGGTTCTTGAAGAATCTATTGCCAAGTGGTAACTTCTATGATAGAAACTGATACTTTACTTTTGTCCTTTTCTTTCTACATTTATTGCTGTTGCCTGAAGTCCGACATAATCCTCCAATGTGTAGCAGTGGGAATCCTTCTGATAACGGAACCCAAATCGAGTCTTACAAAAGATCTAAGAGCTCTCTACACTCAAAAACTTTCAAGGTAGAGATCAGTTATGCTGCAAAAGTACCATTGAATTCCATATCTCATGCCCTTCAAAAAGCTGATCCAGAAAAGGCTCAAGATGCTCTGAGGGTTTTAGACATCGTACTAAGGCAAGATGCAGCTAAAAGGTAAACCAATGCCATCTTCTTGGCTGTACTAATATATATATATATATATATATATATATATATATATATATATATATATATATATATATATATATATATAGTTATATATATATATATATATATATATAGTTGTTATATTGTACCTAAGTGGTAAATGCTGAATACAGAGGGTGCCTTTTGGTTGGTCAATCATTCTTTCATGATGACTCGCGGACGTTCACTGATGTTGGAGGGGGGGTGACAGGTGTGAGAGGTTTCCACTCCAGCTTTCGTCCAACTCTGAGTGGTTTGTCTCTGAATATGGGTATACTCTTCTTTCCTTTTCTCTCGTTACAGTTTCATTTTGGCATACCTTTCATCTTGTAGAAATAATAATAATTAAAATTTCTTCTTTCAGATGCATCGACAACCTTGATCTTGACGCCTGGACCAGTCGTGGACTTCCTGCTTGTTAATCAGAATGTGAAGGAAACTCGGTATATTGACTGGGCAAAGGTATACGACTTTCAACTGCATGCGTAGCATGTTTTTTTTACCCTCTTTTAGTTCTGCTAGTTCATGTTACTGAGACTGAAGGACAGGCCAAAAAGATGCTCAAGAATATGAGGGTTAAGGCGAGGCACAATAATATGGAATTCAAAATTGCAGGTTTGAGTGAGAAACCTTGCAATCAGCAGTTGTAAGTAAACAGTTTTTTAGCTTGCTTTTTTTCTTTCCCCCTTTTAATCCGCCTTTGCTGAATGACTTCTGAGGTTGATTTATATTTTCAGATTTTCGATAAAAGTTAATAGTGGTGGTAGTCCCGGAGGTGATGGAGAAACCGTGGAGATTACTGTTTACGACTATTTTGTTAAACACCGTAACATAGAACTTATATCTTCATCATATATGCCATGCATTGATGTTGGGAAACCGAAAAGACCGATCTATCTGCCTATAGAGGTGCATATTTTATCTCGTGTTGCCTGTGAACCTAAAGCTTCTTATTCACGAATTTTAATTCTGTATCCTTTTGGAATTTCAGCTCTGTTCTCTAGTCTCTCTTCAGAGATACACAAAAGCACTGTCGGTAACACAAAGAGCATCCTTGGTTGAAAAATCAAGGCAGAAGCCTCCTGAGAAAATTCGAGTTGTAACCGATGTAAATTGTTCTTACTGTTGCTCGGTTTTTAATCTTTTCTTTTCTTGCATAGTGGTTTCATTTTTTCTTCAATTCTTCCCAGGCTATCAAAAACTCTCACTATGATGAGAATCCTGTCCTTGTCGCTTGTGGTATTTCAGTTGAAAAGCATCTTAGTCAATTAGATGGACGGATTCTTGATGCACCAAAGGTAGTGTTACAATCTCTCTTAATGATTGATACATATTTTTCATCACATGTTAACAATTACACTGAAATATTCCTCCAATTCCAGTTAAAGGTTGGCAACAGTGAAGACTGTTTACCCCAAAATGGCCGGTGGAACTTCAATAACAAGGTACTCTAAATTGGATTTTTCTTTTTTTTGTTCAATCTCAGAATTTTGTTTCCTGAAAAAATACATACGAACAATGATTCTAACATTGAATTTATTTTCTGTTTTTGATCTTCTGAAGAAACTTCTGAACCCCAGCCAGATAGATCATTGGGCACTTGTCAATTTCTCTGCACGTGCAGATTGTAGCCATCTTTCGAGGGAGCTAATCAACTGTGGGAGGAACAAGGGCATTGTATGTTCTATTATATTATCACTCTCTATCGTTTTCATCGGTATATTATGTTTACATTTATTCCGTTCTCTTCATGTAGCATATTGAACGCCCATATGCAATATTCGAGGAAGATCCACAATATAGAAAAGCTAGCCCTGTGACACGTGTAGAAAAGATGGTTGAACATATTACGGCTACACTACCTGGTCCTCCTGAGTTTTTGCTTTGTGTTTTGCCCGAACGAAAAAATTGTGATCTTTATGGTAATAAAATCTGTTGTATTACCACCCTGTCTAGTTTACAAAGTCATTCACCAAATAATCGTCTGATCTATTGTATTATACGACGTTTATGTCACATATAGGACCTTGGAAGAGAAAATGTCTATGTAACTTGGGTATCGTCACCCAATGCGTCTCTCCTATCAAAATCAACGACCAGTACCTGACAAATGTACTTCTCAAAATGAATTCTAAGGTAACGAGAGTGAGAAAACCGTATCATAATTAAATTTGCTTGCGTTTTCTGTATCCTCTAACTTTTATTTTAGTTAGGGGGGATCAACTCATTGTTGGCAATAGAGAATTCCCGTCGAATTCCACTCATTACGGATAAGCCGACCATGATCTTGGGAATGGATGTATCGCATGGTTCTCCTGGTCGATCTGATATCCCTTCAATTGCTGCGGTGAGTAATTCTGCTGCCTATCGAACTTCTTACAGTAAAGTTCCCCACATGTTTAATTTATGTGAATGTTTCATTGATTTCTATTGTTTTAAGGTTGTTGGATCTCGGAGTTGGCCATTGATATCAAGGTATAGAGCAGCTGTACGAACCCAATCTTCAAGGGTGGAGATGATTGAAAGTTTGTTCAAGCCTCTAGCAAATGGGGAGGATGACGGCATTATGAGGTGATTCACATTAAAATGATTTTTCAATTTATAGTCAATGATTTGTTTTTTTTTTTTTTTTGTAAAGAAAATTGGGCATTTATGTTTTAAAAAAACACCTCGACTTTTTGCTTCAGGGAACTGCTTAAGGATTTCTACGAAACCAGTAATGGACGCAAACCAACTCAGATTATTATTTTCAGGTAACACTATTGAACTCTTTCACTACTTACACATATGTCTGTCAAACTATGCAAATGCATTGTGTCCCCTTGCATTTGCTAGTTTAAAGTATTAAACATATGTAAATAATGCTCGTATTTCCGGAATCCTCTATTTAGCTGTTGTTTGAATTCGGTTCTTCTTTGATTGTGTGATTTACTTGAATTCAGCTCATTTAACTGATTATTATTGCATTTTAATTTTCAGTTTTAAGTGGTCTTTGAACGAACCTCTCCTATTCGCAAAACAATTAATGAAATATATTTGCTAAAACTATACATTATCTATAATCTGACAAACAATTTGCCGGAAATATTTCAGAAATGTATAAAGTTTCTATTTACTTCCTCTCAGGGATGGTGTGAGTGAATCCCAGTTTACACAAGTCATCGACATTGAACTCAATCAAATTATCAAGGTAGCTTTTCTTTCCACGAAGCTATGAATTTTATCTCCTTTTAAACATCAGTGTAGCTTTCGGTACGAACTTGGAATTAATGGATTTTTCGGCTAGTGCAGGCTTATCAGCATCTAGGCGAGACCGAGATTCCGAAATTCACAGTGATAGTGGCCCAGAAGAATCACCATACGAGACTTTTCCAAGCTACAGCTGCTGAGAATGTTCCACCCGGTTTGTTTCTTTTGATTAATAATATGTTCTAATTCTAATATATGCTATTAACAATACAATAAACGCAACACCGTCTCCCCTGCAGGTACTGTTGTGGACACAAACATTGTTCATCCTACAAATTACGATTTCTATATGTGCTCTCAGGCAGGGAAAATAGTAAGTTATTGGTTCCTCCCCTCTTATTTGTTATTACGAAATTAATCATATGATACTATTCGGCAATTTCGGTTATCCCATTTTAGCTTCATTGGAATCTCTTATCTGAAGTATTTGCCACTAGTTCTGTAAGAACGTCTGTTTTTCGTGTCTAATCATGCCACAAAATCTTATTTGAGTCCTTGACTTTTAATTAAACTATTTTTCGAGTCATTCTTTGAAATCCAATTTAGTTGGAATCAATCACAAACCCTTGCCTCAAACTCAAATCTTGTAAGCCATGATCTGCTCAAATTGTTCGTTGATGTACAATTTTAAATGACAGGGAACTTCTCGACCTGCACATTATCATGTATTGCTCGACGAGATTGGTTTCTCCCCAGACGATATGCAGAATCTCATCCATTCCCTATCATATGTGTAAGTAAGATTTCAATGTTTTTCGCCTCTCTTATTTGAATCAAATGTATAGCTGAATCGGTACTTAAAAAAAATCGTTCCAATTCTCCAGATATCAGAGGAGCACTACTGCCATCTCCATTGGTATTCACTCTCTTTCAATTATGTTAATTGTTCCAAATTTCTAAGAAGTTAATTCACAAAAATAAAATAAAATGGTAATAATATACATTAATTATTTTTTATTTTTTTTCAAATTGCAGTTGCACCGGTATGTTATGCTCATCTTGCAGCCCAACAAATGAGTCAGTTTATAAAATTTGAAGACTCGTCCGAACAAAAAAACACGACAACAGGAGGAAGCATACCTTTTCCAGAGCTGCCCAGGCTCCACAAAAACGTTGCTGGATCGATGTTCTTTTGTTGAAGTCGCCGATAAATTTTAGGCTGTCGACAAATTAGAAAACTGTGAATAGAGCAATTTAGTTCTTTTGTCTATAATCGTACCGATGATTTAGGTAAGTATTTGCTAGTGAAGATGGCTGAAGCTGTTTCCGAGTGGTGCTTCGTTTTTCGTTTGAAATGTTTTGATGCATCAGCCTTTCGCCTCTTCCCTCTACTTTGTCTAGCGAAATTCATGTATTAGCTACAACTTACATGCATTCATCATTAGTAAAGCAGTCTTTTGTGGTTACAATTTCATTCTTGGTTTTTTTCTTTTAATTTTCGATTCGGTATTTGGCATGTGCCCGAATTTTCGGTTCGGTTCAGTTCGGTCGGTTTACCGGCCAAGTGAACAGCCCTTCAGGGCTCAGGCTACAGTATATAACAAAGAATATCGTAGTAGTGCATTCGCCTTATCCTGTACGATGTACGTGTATCGTTAGTATTCGATACAATTTTGGTGTTGTATTCTTATTACCATGATGATATAGTATCATGTTATAATTTATATACTCCAATACCATAATGTACTTTTGTCATTTATTTAGTTTTACCTTTCATTCTAGATTTCTACCAAATTATTTTTTTGCAATTGAGCCCTTCTATTATGTATATTGGAATATCAACCCCAACAATTATTTGAAAATCTAACTTACTGCAATATTATATTGTTCCATAGAGAATGTCCTTATTACGAAGGTTTTGAGCTTTATTGTTACATGCAATTTGATACTGAAATGCTTTATAATTTATATATTTTGTTTAATTAGATTTTGTGAAGGATAG